GAAGCCTTTAGGTTGTTTGTGAAATGTTGCCAAACCCATGCTGCTACTTTTAACAGAGAGAAATCTGAGTTTTAAAATACAAATGTTCTTTGCTTACAAAGAAAAAGTACATCTATCTGCCAAGCGCATGATCTTACAAGCTTCAGATAGAAAAGTGGCTATGATACGTGACTGTTTTGGTTCAGAACAATGCTTAGATCAACATGCAAGCTGGACGGAGGTGGGGGTAGCAGGGGAGGGGCCCGCTGGGATGGATGGTAATGTCTGATCCCTCTGCACTTCCCGCAGGAGAGAAGGTTCTGCAGGACGACGAGTTCACCTGTGACCTCTTCCGATTCCTACAGCTACTCTGTGAGGGGCACAACTCAGGTTTGTGAGTCCCCAGACCATCTGATGGTACCAAGGAGTAAATGTTTTCAAGCTGGTAACAACAGGGGCCTACTAGTTCTAATTATGCTTCATCTCTGAGTCAACAAAGCTAGAGCATTGCTCTGCATTGGGCTCTGGGACATTTTATGTATTGCTTTGCTGCTTTCAGAGTGCTTGGCTAGCCGCTTAACTTGAATCTTAGCAATTCTCTTTATGTTAGAGAAGACAGGGGCTATATACAAAATACGTAGATCTGGTAGAGAAGACAGGTGATATATACAAAATATGTAGATTCGGTAGAAGTCTATAGAGTCATAGAAAGCTTCATTTCTTTTCTGTCACCTCTCTTTACCTTGAGAGTGTACATACTTCATTGTATTACGTAACATAATGTGTTTCCAGTAGTTGTTTTTATAGCTAGCTCTCGACCAGACTGTAGACCTGTGAAGGCAGAAGCTCTATCTTAATTTTTTCGTTGTTTCCCCAGCATCTTGCACAGTACTGAGGAACAAACGATTACTGAATAAATAATCTCATTACGTATCCTCTATATGGTGACCATTTTTAGTCATTCACATGCCCAGAGCTCTAGGTCTAGGAATAAAGAAACAGGTGTTAACAACATCTTAGACAAAAAAAATGATTAGAATATTGATATCTGTTGAGCATCTAGATGTGTTTTGGGGGTAATCACTTTTTATGGAAAATATAAATTATTTCATATTAAAACTATCAGATAAAACACTCCCCTTTGCCACAATGATTTTTGTATAGACAACATCATTTGTTTTGGAGTTATTAAAGTAACTTATTGTAAACTTTTGAGTGAGCTTTAATAACTTTTTTTGGTGTTATGTAGATTTTCAGAATTATCTGAGAACTCAGACTGGCAATAATACAACTGTCAACATAATCATCTCCACTGTAGACTACCTACTGAGAGTTCAGGTACGTTGCCTTCCGTATTAGTAACAAATTAAAAGGG